ATTTTATCGATTTTTCCGTGCTGTTTAGGGGTCCGTGGTCATGAAACTTCTGGACAACACTTCTAAAGGTCGACTCTAAGAGGGTGTCAAATTTGGTTGAAATGCAATAATTCATTAATTTGAATAAGCAGATTTTTTCGATTAATTCGTCTTTTTTTTTCGGAACCTGAGTCCGAACTGAAAAATCACACAGACATGATGTCCTTAAGGCAGCCATTTGCAAACTTGTGGGGAAACATTAATGACAGAAATCAAAAGGTGAGAAATGCGAAAATGGGCGAGGTAACAATGCCCATGACAGACACATAGACAGACATGAGAAATATAGATAGTAGTTTAAATTATGATCATAGTCAATTAATTTTTCACTAATTTCCAGTTTTGGTATTTGTGCAATCTCTTGAAAAATGCTTAAAAATTGATTTTAATGATGATTAGTCAGTTTTGTATTTCTTGAAAGTATTCAATTTAATATTTTATTATAAGCCACCATAAAACTTTACATTAGACAAAATGAATCTGGTCTTTTTGGATAGAATTTCACCATTTGTGTAATGGCAGTCTTATTTTGGAAATTACAGGTCTTTTCTAGAATTCTGAAAAGTTTTGTAAACCACTTTTACTAAAAGAAAAAAATAGTGAAAAATATGACTGAATTATATTTTCCATTATCTTTTATTTGTAGCTGTAGATAAAATGTTGCAAGCCTATTACAATTTCTATGGAAAATGTTCAGGTTGGCTACATTCCTTACTTATACCAGTTCAGACCTTTACGGTTAGGATCCACCATGTCATATACATATGGTCAAATAATTATTCCCTTCCTATTCCATTGATTAAAAGGGAGTTACATTCAGACACAACATTTCTAAGAACTGCTACTTTGTAGAACAAACTCCTGAGGGGATGCTTCCCTAATTGCTACAATCTTAACCTCTTCATTTACAGTCAACCGTTATCTGCCTAACATATCCTCATAATCTGCACTATACTTCCTCTTATGTCCAACAACCTCATTCAGTAACCCTCTACTTTGATTGGCTCTTGGGTCTTGTATTGGGTGAATATTTAGTAAAATAAATAAATAAATAAAAATCTACATGTAATCTTTCTTTGGTTGAAAGGAGCTTCTTTCTTTTATCCTTATTATATTGAAAGATGCTTTTGTGTTTCCTGATTTCTTGGTTTAATATTATTTTTTTTACAATTTACCAAAACAAACTTGAAAGTTACAGAATCACATCAGTAAGTTTACAGCCTAAAGATGAAAAAAATATTTTTACACAAATATATTTTAACATAATCCTCTACTTGCCACTGTCAAATGGAGAAAAATAGCGTGGTTTGAACACATTACAAGTCACTACAGCCTGTGCATGACCATCATGCAAAGTGCCGTTGAATGTGGACATAGGAGAGGACACAACATAAAATCTGGTTGGACAATGTCAAACAATGTAAAGGTATGAATTGCTGATGGCTGCCGTTGAGACTGTTGTGGCTTCTGCATTTGGACCACCCCCTACAATGACAAAAGTCAAGGGGATGATGATTTTAACATAATCTTGTTCACAATCTACATAATTCATATAGACTAAATATTATACAGTGAAAATTTCTGATCAAAATTCAACTTGTAACTGTCTGGCAATGGACTTGTACCCATATCATTGGCAAGAAGGTTTGAAGGATGATTTCTCATGAATTGAAAATATGAGTCACTTTTCTGCTTTCTCACTTTTCACTGTACTTCATTTGTTTGGTGTACTTTTTCTTTTTGTATCATATATATAATAAAATAATTATTTACATGCAGACTGTTGTCCTCATCTTTGTTGTTGTTATCACAACCTTTCAGGCATTGTTCCCTCTAACCATCATCAGGTGATTGTTGATTCAGGTAACCTTCAGGGAATTTCAGATTGAACCCTTTATTTAATCTTTGTTCTCATTTAGTAGATTAAATAAAGGGTTCAGTTCAAAATTCCCTGAAGGTTATCTGAATTGACAATGACCTGAAAGTGCTGGAGGGTAAAGTACCTGAAACCTTGTGATAACAACAACAAAGATTGGGACAATAATGTAAATAACTTCTCATCCCAGAAATTCAAACAGAAATAATAAAATGAGTCTGACAAATATAATTATGCAAAAGCATTTTAACCTGTCTGGTAAACTTTGTTATTTGTTACCCTTTCAGCAGCAAAACCATTTGGCAGGTGTAATTAAAATCAATTCCATGGATGTTGTTCTCACTTATTATAATTTTCAGTAGCATTCCATTTTCTTTCACTAAGGAGTTAGGTTCACACTCCTCCCTGATCTTTTGAACAGTAGTAGAGGTTCATCCCTTATTTCCTGTTGAAAGTTTATTTCAACTCTATACTTCTAATGTCTCTGCCTGAACTCTGAAATTTTTTTTTTTTTTTTTCTATTTTATTTTTTTTTTTTTCCTCACTTGGAGTAAATAGGTTCTCCTATCCTCTGCTTAACACACCTTGCTGGTTCTTTTCAACAGGAGTAGATGTTTATCCCTTGTTCCTTATATATATATATTGTCCTCATCTTTATCACAACATTTCAGCCATTTTGCCCTCAGGCCTTCATCATGTGTGTATATTGATCTGGATAACCTACAGTGAATTCTAGAGCAAACCTTTTATTCAATTTACAGAGCAGAGTGTTCTCATTCCACTATCCATGTCTTGGGATATCTTGTCAAGTTCTTATTTTTAGATCTGTTCAGTTATTTATTGTTCACCTTGTTTCCACTGAATCCAAGAACATACCCTGCCCAGCCTAAGGATTGAATTGACAGTTACTGAGTCACCAAAATTCATGAACCAAAACTTTTAATTTCCTAGACTATTCCCTGTACGTTACCCAGATCAGCATACACCTGATGAAGACTGGAGGGCACAACAGCCAAAGATGAGAACAGTAGTCTGCATGTAAATAGTGTAAGTACTGGATATAGAAGTTGTATCCAGATGAAAATGATTTGGTTGTAACACCCCCTGCCCCACCATCATCATGAGAAATATTCACTTTCTGGCCCTGGAACGTATAAATCTTATACCTTTTATCAAGTGTAGAGAAATCAGATTAAACCAAATTAAGTGATTTGGAATAACTGATTATATTTTTAAATTTTAGCTAGCATTCATTCTGGAGATATTGCCCGCCCCCCCATTTTAGGAGGGGGGGGGCTTTTTTTTTCTTTTCAACATCTTCCACAACCTCAGACCATTTAGTGTGATTAATGCTTAAAAGTGCAATTAGAATATAACTCAAGGTAAAAAAAAAAAAATCTTGATCATCATCTCTCCTTTGAGTGTCATTTATCCTTGACCTATATGTCCGACTTACTTGTACCTCTATTTCCACACACGAACAAACCCCCTCAACTTTTCATCTACTTAACTGATTCTCTTCCTCATCTTTATATTTTTTTTTTCTAGTTTCTACGTGACACTTAACTCTCCACATCTTGTTCTCCTTAACACACCCTCAATTTTTCTCTTAATTTATTGTTCTCCTCTGTTCTTTCAAGCCAAAACTCACATCTTACTTTGTCAGCCATAACACTGCATTAATTCTATTAATGCTTAGCTTGGTCAACTCTAATCACTTTTGTCTTGTGCCGACACCAGTCCTTCATCTTGCCATCTTTAGAGGCCAAATATCTTCTCTATTAGATATTGACATGTTGCTTAGCTATTTGGTGGCCTGTTATTTTAATATCACCACTTTATAACCAATATTTGTTGCATACCTACAGTGGCTTGAGCTATTTGCTTTGAGTGCTGATATTTAAAAAAAAAAAAATTTTTTAATCATTTCACCACAAGCAAAGCAATAAAGCACAAGGGGTTACTGAGGGTGAGAGAATTTGAGAAAAAGAAAGCCTTATTAAGGGGAGAGAACAATAAAAGAACAGGAATTAAGACAGATAACGATTGACATTGCATTTCAATTTTTGAAGATCAAACTTGACTGGAAAGTGAGAAAAGAAACTGTTATTGTAGAACTTATGGTTTCATCCAGCCATTTCAACTGTAAAATGAGACGTTGCCACTAATCTAGTAGTACACTGAAATTCATAAAGTCTAGGTACCAAAGAAGAGAGCTCATCAGAATAATTATCATGAAAATATTTATAGAAAAGGCAGAAGAAAGCTACATTACAACAGTAGGAAAGTGATTGAAGATGTGATGTAAGGTCAGGACCAATAATATTGCAGATTCTTCTTTGTATTTTATCAAGAATCTCTAAATATATAGCAGGAGCACTAGACCAGATGTGGCAGCAATATTAAATGTGTGGACTAATGGTAGACTTATAAATATCTAAGATAGATTTTGACAATAAAAATTGTCTAGTACAACAAAGTGAACCAACCTTCCTAGCAGCAGTCCTAGCAATTGATTCAATATAATCTTTCCACTTCATCAGTGGAAAATACTATTTGATTTAACCACTGTTTGTAGTGTGTTTTTTTTTTTTTTTTTTTTAGTGGAGTGGGGGGGGGTCAATTATTTTCATTTCCCAAATATTAAAATCTTTTTATTTTATTTATTTATTTTTAGTAGAATTTCATATCCTCCTTAATACTCATTGAATTTTTTATATATTGTCATGTTTTTTACTTGTAAGAACAATTTGTATATGGAAAAATTTAGTTCATAGAATTTACTTTGAAGGATATTTGATATTTTGTTAATTTATAGCCTATTCCAGAAGAATTGTCTGTCTTTTTGTGAATAAACTTGTTGTTCAGTTGTATATTTTATTTAAGTTTGAGATGGAAAATTTGTTAGAAGGCATGCATTCACATGTGAAAGATTTCTTCCAGGTGAACCTTTTTGTTTACAGCTCTTTATTTTGATAAGTATTGATAAGTACAATGGCTAGTGTATACTGAATTTTGCAAATCATCTTGACTGGTTGTTTTATAAATATGGTCTTGCACAAAAATTATTTGACATATCACTGCCTACAGCCATATCATGACAAAACACCAGTTCTCGTCTGATCACTAAAATTAAGAAACATCAGGTCTGGCTGATTCTTGGATGGGTGGCCACTTGGGAATACCAGGTGCTGTAAGCTTGAATCTGCAGGTTGTGTAATGGATAACCACTCAGAATGGGAAATCAGAGGTAGGAATCCTTGCCCCAGCTATGAGTTAAATAGTAGAACTTGTATTAGAAAATCATATTCTCTGAAACAAAATTCTGACAATACTAAAGTATTTGCTGGTTTTAAATAACCTTCAAAAGAATAAGCCTTTAAAAACAAATCAATCCATGTACTATATCTGTTACATTTGCCTAGTTTTTCTTTTGGTTTTTTATATATATATATATATGTGTGTGTGCATGCATGTAGGTAGGTAGGAATATCGAGACCTGTACAACAAAACCTGAAATAATAAATGATACTCCAAATTCCATAGGAATATGAATAAAGAAAAAAAAACCAAACAACTTTGGTAATGGTTTCCTGACAGCATTATGTGTAAACCTGATGCTTTTTTTACATGCAAAAATAAGAGTTTAAATGTTTCTCAAAATTAAATTTCCAGCATTGAATTAATAAACTCGGTGAAAATGAAATAGGTTGTATTTTATTATTTCTTACAGAGATATATGTGTATATAGTTGCATAACAATTTCAGGATAGATTTTATATAGTAAATGTAACTGTTATGGGACAGGTAGTTTGTCAAGATTTTTTTTCTCTAAGTTAAAAAGCTAATGTTACAGAATTTTTTTTCTTCTATTGTTGATGTAGTGAGAAATGGCATTTTGTATTAGTAGAAATGTTGATATATTCAAAAACATGAGTTCAAAACTGGAGACATGCCTACTTTTTCAAGGATTGTATTTGCCTTCTCAAATGACTTAACGGATAAACATTGTGCATATGTTTTGCATTTATACAATGTTTAAAGTCATTTGTTTTTTATTCTCATCTATTATTAAAAACTTACTGAATATAAGAAAGTGATGAGGTTGTATAGAAACCGACTTTTCCTAAATAGGTTAAAAAAATGGCGGGTGATGTTGGTTGTTTTTTTTTTTTTTTATATTTAAGCTTATACTTTCAAAATAAATATGATTTTAAGTTATTCCAAGGATGCTGTAAAAAGTTGTATATACTAATAATCTGCCATTACTTATCCACTGTAGAATGAACGCCTTTCCTAAATCCTTCCATGACTCCTATGACTCCTTTTCTCTTACCAGCAAATCTATTTCATCATCTATCCTTTACTGCATTTGCAGTTAATTTGTTACCAATCAAGCAACCTTTTACTCCATCTGTTATCCTTTCTTCTTGTCACGTGTCCATCCCATATCTATTTTTGACATTTCATCACTTCAATAGCATCATGCAAGTGCTTTCCATTGTCGTATTTCACTTTATTTCTGTCGTATTTCACTTTATTTCTGTCGTATTTCACTTTATTTCTGTCGTATTTCACTTTATTTCTGTTGTATTTCTTTAATATTATTTTTTATGCCCTAAGTATATCTATTTTTGGATATCTGTTTTATATTTTTCTGAATCTTGCAAGTGAACAATTTTTAGTTTTGTTCATTTTCAAACCTACCTACATTGAAACTTTCCATAGATCATTCAATATTTCTTGTAATATTTTAGTAACCTGTAATCAGCAAGTTATAGTTGGTTTAAATCTTTTGTTTACTTTCATGCCTACTGAGTTCATTTTCCAGAAGAGACTTTCAGGTGTAAATAGATTAGGTGAAACCATATCCCTTTGTTTTGCTACTTTCCTAATCTTTGTATGTATCTTGTTTAATTGAATTATTCCAGTACTGTTTTCAGTAACTTTTTATTGATGTCTTGCCCTCTTCATTTGGACAGCCTATAGCTAGATTGTTCTATAGTCACCTATTTATAGTCCACCTTCTGCATGTCTTCTATACAATTTCAAGAGTACTTCTTGCAAGAAAATCTATGTCAATTTTGAAAACTAGTAAAAAGGAAGATGACTTTACATTTTTGAGAGTACATTCCGTTACCTCCAATTTATTCTATGATTTAACTGTTCCAGCAGGTTAATCTGACTACTAAAGACAATTAAGTTCAGCTTTGTAATTTAATATTTGTTGTGACGGGGAGGAAGAGGTAATTTTTTTTTTTTTTTTTTTTTTTTTTTGACATGGGGATTGAAACATAGGAAATTTTCCCAAACAAGTAATTTCTTTGATTAAAATCTAAGCAGTAAACATTTAAGAAAATTTTCTCATAGTAAGACTAGCTTTTGACAAAAAAGAAGCTAAATTCCAAGAAGAGGTTCACTTTCATAATGCATTACTAAAAGGGAAAATACAACATTTCATGCATATGGAATGCAAGCCTTAATGGCTCTCCACAATTTCTTTTCTTTTCTTTTGTAGCTCTTAATAAATTTTGTCTTTTTATTATCTCTCCTAATCTTTGTTCTGTCAACCATTTACTCAAGCTCATTATTCTTCTATGTTCCTTATCTCTTCAGGATGTGTATGATCATGGCTCTCCACAATTTCCGGTCCTTTGTAGCTCTTTATAAATTTTGTCTTTTTGTTATCTCACCTTGTTCTGCCTTTACTCAAGTTTGCTAGGTAGATTGTTTACCTCTGTCCCTCTTACCATCAATCTGTTCTCTGAGTATCAAATTTTCCTAGCCCTTTTTCCTCGTTATGTGCCCTAGAAATCTTAACCTACCTTTTTAGTGTCTATTTTCTCAAAAACTTTGTTGTTGTTCACATGTCCATGGTAGTCTTGGTATCCACTTGTAGAACTACATTTCTTTTGCTTCAACTTGTTTCTTCATCTTCATCACATTCACTGCCATATAGGAGGACTGATATTACATATGAAAAAAGATTAAATTCCTATCTGACTTCTGAATGATTTTGTGAGTGGAGTCTTTTAGATCTACTTGGTTTGTTTTTGAGTCATCCAGTCAGGGATAAACACCATAGATTTATATTTTCTGATTCCACAAAACTGTTTTGAAATGAATTTATGTAATTTCTTTTTTTTTTATTTTGTAAATAAACCATACAATATTTCATAATAGAGAAATCTTTTTGTCCCTGCACCAGATACAAGAAAAATCTTTGACTTCCTCTTTGCAGAAGAGGAATAAATATCTTACTAGTATACAAAGTAAATTACTTATGAACAAACCACTATATCATTTCGTCATAAATTATTTATTTTTATTTTATTTTTAATTTTTTTTTTTACAGTGACGTTTATCCTGTACAAGTCCCGGGAGCCCCTTGAAGTAGAGGGCTACAGAGTTGGTGATACAGTTTATGTGGGGAAGATAATGGTTAACTCTAGACTTGAACAAGTTAGGATTGTAGTGATTGGGAAAACATCCTCTTGGGAGTTGGTTCCACAAAGCAGTGGTTTGCAGGAAGAAGCTGCTCAAGTGGAACTGACTTCTCATTACCAATAAAATCTGGAGGCATTGAGGGTGGTTCACTACAATGGGCATGGCAGATCCTAGATGTAAATGTTAGAACTAGTGGAACTAAGGTAGTTCATCTGAGTACTTTCCATGGAAGTAGCAATAGACCAGCAAGAGGCTTGCCATATCCTGTCTGTGCGAGACTGGCTGCAGGGTAGAAAATAATTTGTCAACCACAAGTACATAGAGATGCTTTCAAACTCTATCAAGGAAAGTGAGGGTTGGGCAGCTTATGCCCAAATATGAGTTTGGCTACTTGCTAAATGTGGGATAATCAAGCTTGAATGAATTTAGCTATAACCCCTCCAATCTTTCAATTGGACATTCTCCACAATCAACACAAATAGATTGTTTGCAGTGGAAGAGACTTTAATAATGTTTATAAATCCTTTTTAGAAAAAACCTTTATAGACAATCAAGCATTTTTTTTTTATGGGAGTCTGATCTTGTAAATGCATAGTAGTAGTAGTAGCAGTAAATATTTACTGAATTTAGCTTTGTTTGCCAAAAGACAACTGCAGCAGAATGTCCACAAGTATGATAATTTTCTCTCGTTCATGTTTCAGAAATTTATGGTATACTTCATAGTTTCAAATTTTGAGGACAGTTCTCTCTTTCTGTCTTCTTTCTTTTTTGTTTTTTCTCTTTCCTTTCCCCATGAGCAGTTGGACAAAGGAATGTTATATTCTGCAACCAGGATTGACAATGATTGATTTATTTTTGATTCCCTACTTGTTTTGCCATCTATGTATGGTCAATATTTCCTTGAGGATTTAAGAGCAAGAGTTACTTCTGTTTTTTATTATTATTCTGGCTGAACAATGACTGGATTCACTTTCATATTCAATGTGAATACAGGCCTGAAAACAAATTTTTAACTAGCAGCTCCGATTGAGGAATCGGAGAGACAAGTGTGAATTTCAGTTGAATCCATTACATTCACTTACGTGCTAAAACCCTTGGAAAAGGTATGAATCCTCTTCTCCCTTCAGCTATGGGTAAATAGGAGAAACTGGGTTTTATAGCTGGGATGGCAACTGGTCTACCACAGAAAGAAATGGCAACCTACTATGGGGAAAAAATCTGTCTAGTTAGTCATGTATCAGAAGATACATGATTGCTTAAGCGTGTATCACACATGGCACATAAGTGACTGATTCAGATTTATATTTGATAAGTATATTGAAGCTCAAGTATTGAAAGTTGCATAAAATTGTCCTATAATTCATCAAAGTAAAAAAAAAAAAAAACTATATAAATTGATTGATGCATATTTTTTTTTTTTTAGTTTATCAGCTCTTTGCAGGTTATTTAAAGCCAGAAAATATTTTCAGATTGTAAGGATTATTTTATTTTATTTTATTGTTGAGATAATAATTATTTAGCAATAAGTCTTACTAATTAAAACATAACTGGAGGAGAGTGTGGATGAGCAGCATCCATACCTTTCCCAAGAGTATTTTATGCATAAGTAAATAAATATAACGAACACAACAGGTATTGGAACTCTGCTTTATTAACAATTCTGAACCATTATCCAACACCCACACATTCAAGCTTTCAGCACTTTGTATTCCCAAGCGATCACCTATAAATGGTAATGACCAAATTAAATA